TTTGAGCCTAGTTAGATCATGATTGGATAATAATTGTCAAATACAAACGAAAGTACTACAGTGCCAAATACTGAATCCTAACCCCAATCTGAACAAGCCCCACACAGCACGCAGCAGCATTAATATTACCCTGCTCGTACGTGTCGTACGTAACAGAGCAGTACTAGCATGCTAGCTACTGCACGTATTATACGACCATGGCATCTAAGCACGACGTTCAGAGATCTGTACATACATCAAATAATCACTTCTGTAATTGTAGGCATAGGTACCATAAAAGCTATGCTTCTGTCCTGTGGGATACATCATCTACTATCATTATGTCAGTTTGCTTTGTCCAGCAACCAGGGTGTCCACGTCGCCCCGAAAGCTCCAAGCCGTCCGACCTCCGATCCTGTGGATCAGATTAGTTGGACCGGATTTTTCTTGAAGCGGGTTTTCGCGCTTCTCGCTGGCTTCTCCAGCTTCTATACTGCTTCTACGGCTTCTAATCAAAATCTACAGAAACAGATATATACTCCAGCTTCCGCTTCTTCTTCCACTTCCCCTTCCCCTTCCCGATGGTTCGTTCTCCTTCTTAACCCCGATGCTCTCCCACACAACAGCGCCTCCACTGCTCCCGTCGCTGCCGTTCCTTCTTCTCTCCTTCCCCCCTCCCTCTCCCTCTACCTCTCTCCCGGCATCACGGCCTGCCTGCCAGGCCCCGGCGCTGTCTCCTCAGCGCGTGGTGCACTGCCCGGCCGACGGCGCCACCGATCTGGTGCGCGGCGGCTGTCCCTCGCCACGTCGCGGTGCCACCGCCGGTGGCCGCCAGCGTGCCTGCCCCACAGCGCTGGCTGCTCCCACAAGTACGCGTGAGCTCCACGAAGCCCTAAATCCCTGGGCATGACATCCGTCGCTGCGCCACGACCTACTCCCTCTTCTAATCTGCACTGGAGTTTGAGGGATTGATTCCTTTCGTTAAAAAAAAGGTGCTTGCCCCTAATCTCCATCCACGTATCTCTATAGTCACAACATTAGATAGACCTTGTTTTTTATACTTGGATTCCCTTCTACTTTAATTCCAGATTCTTGTCCTTCCACAAATTGTTTTTTGTGATATATTGCAAAATTACATTTGAAGAAATACGCTAAATGTTCCTTAAAGCCATTCAGTGCATGGAATACTCTTTTTCTTTTGCTGCCTGGTATATGAGATTGTCTGAAATTGGAGTCACAGTTTTTTTTTCACATATTTTATATTTTTTATCTTGTCATCACCGTTCTTCTGTGTAGCAAACCAAATACTGACAGGACAGGCAATACTCAAATCTAGGTTGTGCAAGGCTGAAAGGTCCTAATGGCTAGAGGGGGTGAATAGCCTGATAAAATTTCTACAATAACACTTAACAAAACGGTTAGATAATTATGAGGCGAAGCAAGAGTTGCGCTAGCCTACTAAAAATATAAGCCACCTACCACAATTCTAGTTTATATAGTTTCTATCCACACAATAGCTATAACACTACACTAAGTTAGTGCGTTCTCAAAAGCTAACTAAAGAGCCACACTAACCAAACTAACAAGCTCTCACAACTAGCTACACTAAAGAGCTTGACAACTAGTTTGCGGAAATGTAAAGAGAGTGAGCAAGATAGTTATACCGCCGTGTAGAGGAGTGAACCAATCAATCACAAAGATGAATACCAATGAAAATCAATCACCTCAGAATCAAATGATGAACACAATAATTTTTTACCGAGGTTCACTTGCTTGCCGACAAGCTACTCCTCGTTGTGGCGATTCACTCACTTAGAGGTTCACGCGCTAATTGGCATCACACGTCAAACCCTCAATAGTGTGCCGCACGACCAACATAAGATGAGGATCACACAAGCCACAAGCAATCCACTAGAGTACCTTTTGACTCTCCGTCGGAGAAAGGTCAAGAACCCCTCACAATCACGTTGATAGGAGCCGGAGACAATCACCAACCTCCGCTCGACGATCTTCACTACTCCAAGCCGTCTAGGTGGCGGCAACCACCAAGAGTAACAAGCGAACCCCGCAGCGAAACACGAACACCAAGTGTCTCTAGATGCAAACACTCAAGTAATGCACTTGAATTCTCTCTCAATCTCACAAATATGATGAATCTATGATGGAGATGAGTGGGAGGGCTTTAGCTAAGCTCACAAGGTTGCTATGTCAATGCAAATGGCTAAGAGAGTGAGCTTGAGCCGGCCATATGGCTTAAATAGAAGCCTCCACGAAATAGAGCCGTTGTACCCTTCACTGGGCACAACGCGGGGTGACCGGACGCTCCGGTCATATTGACCGGACGCTGGACCTCAGCGTCCGGCCACGCGATGCGTGCCACGTGTCCCATCTCTTTAAATGTTGATCGCCCGATCTCAACGGTCAAGTGATGACTAGACGCAGCCGCTCAAAGTGACCGGACGCTGAACCCCAGCATCCGGTTATTTCCAGTAAGCTTCCAGAGATGACTTTTCCCGACCGGACGCGTCCGGTCATGCTTGACCAGACACAGCCAGCGTCCGGTCACACAGTGTCTTCCTCTGTGCTGCCACGTCAGCATGACCGGACGCAACCTTCCAGCGTCCGGTCGCTGAGCGACCCAGCATCCGGTCATGAGACCGAAACGCACGCCCTCTGCTGCCACTGACCGGACGCGCCGGTCCAACCAAGACCAGCGTCCGGTCACTTACAGTGACCTCCGTCTTTTCTGTCTAGGGCGCCGGTGAAGTTTCTAACCCTTACTCAAATGTGCCAACCACCAAGTGTATCACCTTGTGCACATGTGTGCCAGCATATTTTCACAAACATTTCAAGGGTGTTAGCACTCCACTAGATCCTAAATGCATATGCAATGAGTTAGAGCATCTAGTGACACTTTGATAACCGCATTTCAATATGAGTTTCACCCATCTTAATAGTACGGCTATCGAACCTAAATGTGATCACACTCGCTAAGTGTCTTGATCACCAAAACAAATAGCTCCTACCATTTATACCTTTGCCTTGAGTCTTTTGTTTTTCTCTTTCTTCTTTTCAAGTCCAAGCACTTGATCATCACCATGGCATCACCATCATCATGTCATGGTCTTTATTTGCTTCATCACTTGAAATGTGCTACCTATCTTATGATCACTTGATAAACTAGGTTAGCACTTAGGGTTTCATTAATTCACCAAAACCAAACTAGAGCTTTTAAAGACAACAACAAGGTATTTTTTCCCTTTGATCCATTTACTATAAATGGATTTTGGGTAGTTGTGTTTATGGTACATCAAGATATGATCCCTTTCTGATCATGGTACAAATCCATTTCCAATTCTTTGTATTTTCTAGATTTAACTACGCTAAGAAAAGTGTGAGCTTAGATTCCGTTACACCGATCCATTTCTGATTCTTTGTATTTCCAGATTTAACTATGTTGACAACAGTCTGAACTTAGATTTAGTTACACCAATTTATGTAGGCACAAATATGGAAACATGTTAGCTAAACTTAAATGATACTATGTGGTTCAGATAATAGTTTGATTTTCTATTTGTCTCATCAGGGGAGAATGTAAGGCAATCTATACTCATCTAATATTAGTTCTCATTATGGTGACCGGTTTCTATAGGTAGTCCTTTTAGGGAAGCATGATCATCCCTTCAATGAGTGTGCCTGGCCGATTACTCTACTTCTATTTCCTTTTGTTCTCTAATTTGATGTTGATTTCTAACCTATACCTGGTTACTGGACTTTACATGTTTTCCTTTCATGAATAGGCAGCTTCTGAGGCTGTTCGGCAGGACTAAAAAATAAGCCAAAATACTGTTCCGGCTGATTACTGTGAGGGAAAAATACTGTTGTGTCTGAAAACTCGTGAGTGCGCTGGCCAGCCCAGCCGAAGCCGGCCAGCCAGCCGAACACGGCCTCTGCTGCTGCATATAACAATGATGGTTCTACTCTTAAAGTTCAGCTTTACCAACTAACATTACATTCCAACTGAGAGATCCAATATCATAGAGGCTGGGTACACATAATGATAGATGCTCTAGCTATGGATATTTAGTTTACAGCAGAACTTTTCTCTTGGTTTTCTATGTCGACTCTGCATTTTCTTGGGATTTATCTTATTGATTAGTTAAGTTCCATTCCAGAGATCCATTGTCTGCTTTAAGGGACGACTCTATTTCCTCTGTTTACAGGTCTGCAGATATAAGGTTACAACAAACTCCAATCTTTCAGTTTTTGTGCATGACATATCTACATTAAACTTCTAATATTATTTCTATGTAGAGATTAAATATGTTTTTTATCTACGTCTTAACCAGGTAATTTGTCGCCGCGTACGAGGGCGCGCGTAATGGACTAGCAGTGCATTAGTGCTAGCGTGTTTTTGCTCGCGAGATGGCACATGAGTCCACTTGTAAAGCTGACGTGAAATCCAGATCAGACCTGCAGGGACGCACTGGTGCTAGTCCTCAGAAATTCTCCCAGTGGCATGTGACACGTGGGGCCCGCCGACTGCCCATGCATCGTACGTAGGTCGTACTCCCTCCGTCCCGTTAAGATTGTCGCTCGGGAAGCGGGATTGTGAGGGGGGCACGGTTTTCCAACGACAAACTCAATGGGACGGAGGGAGTAGGGTTCGAGTTTGACACGCTGCAGCAAGTACCATTAGTACATCTGTAATATCCGCAGTATTTAAACAACCGATCGAACTAACTAATCCCGTGGAAAATGGAGAAAAGATTCCACCTGTTGTGTCCCTTTCCGATCTTTACATAGACAGTCACCTCTGAGCTGTCTCACTCGTAAACCCTCTTCTTCTTCTTCTTCTTCTATATAAAAACCCTAGCTTTGGACACGCACAGGTGTTATATATATTCGTCCGTTGTTCTCTAGCTAGCTACTGTGGCGTTACAACAACTAGAGACCAGAAGGAGAGAGAGGTTAGCTGAGCAAGCAAGAGCAGAAAGGCATCAGATCATCAGATCGGATCCATGGAGCTGGAGGCTGCTGCTGCCGCGCGGGCGACGTGCAGCAGGAGGGACGGGCGGAAGCTGGTGCGGTGCCCGCGGCTGCATCTGGACACGAAGACGGTGACGGCCATCGAGCAGTCCACGGGGGAGAGCGTCGGCGTCGCCGACGCCGTGGCCGCCGCCGAGGGCGGCGCTGGCGCGATGCGCGTCAAGATCGTGCTCAGCAAGCAGCAGCTGAAGCAGGTGGCAGCGGCCGTCGCCGCCGGAGGCGGCGGCGCCTTCGCCGCGCTGCCGCCGGCGCTGGAGCAGCTCGTCAGCGTGCTGAAGCGCCAGCACTACGCCAAGAAGCAGGCCGCGGCGGCCGACGTGGTGGCTGCGGCCGGAAGACGCCGGGGCCGCTGGTCGCCGGCGCTGCAGAGCATCCCGGAGGAATGCTTTTAGCTAGGCGTGCGTACGTACGTATGTGCAGTACTCTGCATTCTACCATCTGCTGCTTGTATAGCTAGCTTTCGCCAAATTTTCAGGCTCTTCTTCCTGGGTCGCAACCTGCCGATTGATTGGGCCAAAATGAGCGCCCAACGGTTGCATCCCAAATTTGAAATGTCACGAATTTTAATCTGGCATTTGCCATTTGGACAGATCCGTCCAGAAAATTTTCCCCTCTGTTTCCGAGATCATGTACATATCTTTGATTCGATGAATAAAAGGACAATGAACTGGGAAAAGGAACCATAGCAGCGTGTCAAGTCTCTTTCTTTGCCGTCAGGTTGTTGTCCTGCACTCCTGCTCCATGTGTGCGGGCAGTGAATAGTAGTGATGTAGCAGATGCTTGCCCCGCTGGCTGCTGCAGGGGAATGAGAAATGGCCAAATGGTTGCCAGGCCACAAGATTCCTCTTAAGTAGTACGATAAGATCTATGTACACGAGACGAGAGGGTTACAGTTGTGGTTTATGCATGACCAGAAGGGAGCAATTAGTACACCGCCATGGCCTACTGGGTGGCCTGAGATGTGTATCATCATTTTTTTTCTCGATCACGCAAAAGATGTGTATCATCATTTGCCAACGTCTAATCAGCTTCAGTGCCGAGTCGATCGGATCGGATCGGATGAGAGTTTTGTTAGTGCTCGCCTTGGTTCCTTTAACTTGCACAGAGACAAGTCAAGGCAATGCAGCGGCTTGACGCTGCTGCTCATCGCCCGGACGATATAAAAGGTGAGGTTTTCTCTCGCAACAATGGAGACTGGAGTACGGGTACGGGCGAGACAAGGTTAACTGTGAAGCACTGCACATATGCACAGAAGGGTGGAAACGAGAGAAACGAAGAACCAGCAGATCGTCAGAGGCTCCCAAGGTGTACAAACTTTTTGAAGCACAGCCTGGTCCTACGTACCGGGTGTGCGTTCAGCGGCCAGCTTGATTGTAGGAAAAAGTTTATGTTTACTTGCTACCAATAACACCCGAAAGAATTGCCGTCCTGCTCAGAGAGTTACACTCCAATCCAAAACAATAAACATATTTTGATAATGGAAGAGTCAAATAAAATAGATTTTGTTCCTGAGCTTTTCTTGTAATGTTATGATTTGCTAAAACATCAATATTGTCTCATAGTCACTTTGAATACAAATCCATTGATGCAAATTTTATGTCATAAACTTATATATAATTTAAATATAGTTGTTGATCAGAGTTTGTAAATATCGTTATCATTCTAGGATAGATGGAAGATGGAGTAAACACTTATCCAGGCTCTCTGGCGCCATGAAATCGAGCTAATTATGCCAATGTTACTGAAAATGGCTAGTCTGTCTGACGTACCGCACCGATATTACTGGCCTCCGCGAGTACCTGAAGTACTGGAGTGGCAAAGTGGGTGATGTCAAAATGGCAGAGCTCGCCACATGTTTGCCATATTGCCGTCCGATGTATTGACAGTTTGATGACTTAGACCTTGTTTAGATTGCCTCAAAATTTAAAGTTTTTTTACTCTCTCCCCATCACATTAATTTTTAGACGCATGTATGGAGCATTAAATATAGATAAAAAAATAACTAATTACACAGTTTGGTTATAAATCACGAGACGAATCTTTTGAGCCTAGTTAGTCCATGATCGGACAAAGTTTGTCAAATACAAACGAAAGCGTCTAATGTCCAGGATTGTAAAAATTTGCAATCTAAACAAGGCACATGGGGTTTAAATAGTTTAGGGGTGTCGGGGTGTCACACAAATCAGTGTTAGGATAGTAATAATAAAATAAATTATAAAGTCGTCTCACAGATGTTTATTAAGCACAATTAAGTGTATTAGCGCATATATATACTGTAGCTTTACTGTAGCACAACATTGCCAAATCATGGACTGGTTAGGCTTAAAAATTCATCTCGCAAATTAATCGTAATATGTATAATTAGTTATTTTTTAGAAACATATTTATACTAGGTGTTCAATTCCGATCACCGGTTGCTATTCTTTAAACCTAAACAAGGCCTTAATTATTCACCGGTTGCAATCCACCAAACCAGTACAGAATAATGGTCTCAACGAACTCGTAGTAGAAATGCAGAATCGCAGTCCTATTAGAGTAGTTCACACACATATATACCCATCCGTACCAAATTGAACGAGCAAGCAATCAAGCCACTTTTTCTGACTGCCGCTATTCCACGAGCCAGGCAGGCGCAACTATCACAATCAGACCACCGCCGGGCGCCGGGAGCATTCCGTTACCTGTCAGTTATACCACGCACACGCAGCCGCGATCGACCGGCGACCGGTGCCCGCGCAGACAAATGACGCAAAAGAGCCGATAAACCAGCGAAAATCCAGGCAGGCTCCACGGCCGGCCGGCCGCCCGCCCACCAACGCGCACATGGGCCACGGCGTGGCGAGGCCATCCCTCGTTGCTTTGGCGAACTGTCCGGGCCGCCACCGCTCGAGCCCAAAGCCTCGCGGTGACAGGCTGACAGCGGCCGCCGCGCCGAAGCGCAACCCGACGAGACGTCGAGACGACAGCCGTGTTGGTGACGCGCGCAATGTACAAGCGCGCGCGACCGGCAGCAGCCCGCCCCGCGCCGCTGTGTCGTGTCGATTTCGATCGCGAGGGCGCGGGGGCCGGCAGCTAGGCCAGGCCAGGCCAGGCCGCGCATGTGACGACCTACCCGAAAACGACGGTGCGTGCCCCCGATCGCGAGAGCTCCGTCCGAGCTCTCGCCATCAGAGACTTCAGGAGGCGCGGACGGACGCGCAGCGCGACCCGCAACGACCTCGGCCGGGGCCCCGGGCATGGCACGGACAGCAAAGCCTCGCCTCGCTAACAAGCGCACACCGGCACACGTCTCGTAGGGCGGGGGGCGCACGCGTCCGGGCCGTGCGTCGCCGCATGGGCGGCCTCGATCGCCCCGGCCTGATCCGGCGGCTGGGGCGGGATGGCGGAACGGTCCGTTCGCCCGTGCACAGCCTGGGCCCCCTCCCCTGATCAGGCCAGGTCGCTGCCGCTGTGTCTGTTAGCACAACTGCACAGGCTGTGTGGTGGTGTACTGGACGGACGCTGCTACCTACGCGTCCTGCTTATCCGAAATAATTTCCTTTGCCCAACGCCGATCGGGACGTGTTGTCGGAGCTGAGAGGGCCCCCCTAGAGGTTGAGCATTGGTACGTCACGCTAGCATCAGCCTTGCGTCACGATATTTCCTCCTTTTTTATTGTTCGGGTTCCCTCATCTTTGTTTATTCGGCGGTGGGGCCCGCCGGTCCTTGGAGTGCATGTTACCTGTCAAAACAATTCGTGGTACGAATATCTAGGAAGTTGTACTGTAACTGAGTATGTACGTACCCACGCCCCAGTTGTGTATGCCAAGGTTGATCACGTTCACCGCTTGTACGTTACTTTCTGAATAAGATTGTCAGCATCGATTGGTCAACCTAGGGTTCAGTATGCTAATTTACCGTCATCACGTTCTTCATCGCGAAGTAACTTTGCAGCTTCTCTAAGCTTCATCGGACGGGTGCCCTTAAATGGATCTTCCGCAACAAACATCTACGTGTCGAGAAATGAGCGTCGCTCAGCTTCGATCCCTGCCAGCGTGCCAGGTAGACCGACAGGTCGATCATCGCTCCCAAGTCCCAACGGTGCAAAATCGCGCTCGATCAGAGGCAGAGCTAGGCGTTAACAGAGCAGAGACGATTCCATGGTTCTACTAGAGCAGAGCAGTACTGCCAAACAGGTGTTAACGCAAATCTGGGATCGCAGGCAGAGCTAGGCGTCGTCGTCCTCTGCAACATAAAACAATTCGCTTCCATATAATGTTGCCCTGAAAAGGGGCGCCCTCTTCACGTGCGTTTTGTCCGTAGTGTGTACACCTCACGTACTTACCTGCATGGATTCCGGCCGCAAGCAAACAGAGCAGCAGCTGCTGCTGCAGAGAGCTGCTCGGCTCGTATTTTCACTACGGTTTCCCACGGCTGCACAGTACTGTGCTTTGTATAAACTGCACAGTACAGTAGGGGGACCCTGCTTCCTTGAAGCAACCTCAACATGTCCGCAGGCTGCGGCTAGCAGCGAATGAACAATAGAAATTCAGCAAGATCCAACTAATCTGGCCGGGCTCGTGTATTAGCGTCCTATTCTAAGCATCTTGTTTATTTATACTTTAGCTAGGTCGCCGAACCGAACAATGAGCCTGGCATGTGGGCCACTGCGACGATGGCGACGCTGTGCGCAGCACGCAACGTAGGAGTAGTACAGCGCAAGACCTAGCTAGCTCTGTCGTCCATGCACGTGAAGAAAGCTAGGCACCGAGAACATTTTTGTTTATTCGAATATTTTTGTGCGATGGCTTGCATTGCACCCAAAGAAAAAACGGCTGCTGGCTGCTCCGAGCTGACTGCCAGTTCTCAACTGCATGTTACCTCTTCCTCCAAACACGGCAGGCATGCATTGTACACTGCCACAGAACCAGATTGGTCGATGCACCCTTGCAGAAGCCAAAGGCTGCCAAAGACTGCATGTTACTATAACAAGTTAGTTATAGACTTATAGTAATCATAAGCAGAGGACAACAGCCATTAATAAGATTGGTACGTCTAAGCATCAGCAGCAGGGCAGGATGAGGAATTCGTTTCACACACCATACCCCGGCCCGGCAGCTGCGGTGTAACTTGGCTCGTCTACGCACTCAACCCCCATATCTGAGCTGCCGAGCTGGTGTTGCGATCTTCTTTGGCGTGCCGGGAATAATAAGGCCGCCGCGCGCTACCGGCGTCGTCGCGCGTCGCGAGGCTCGGCCGAGTCACAGGTATGGCTAGCTGGACGCTCCAGCTTTCAGGGCTTGGACCCGTGTTTGCCTGCATTATTGCGGGGAAAATCGGCTCCGCGTTACTACGGCAATCATGCAGGGAGCAGGGTTGGTTCACCGTCCGCGTTGATCTTTGGGATGCTAATAATTAATCAGCATGCTGTTGCGGTTTGATCTGCATCCATGGTTTAGGAGAAATTTCGTTCTTTGAAATCCTAATCCTCGTGGTGGTTAACTGGCGGTTATGTGCTAGCCTTCCTGACGTCTTTTTCTTTGTTGGATTGGAGTTATATAAAAATTTGGGATCAGTTTTCATCAGTGCTCTGCGACCGTGCGTTCGACGAGTTCTATCAGCACAACTAGCTTGGTGATCATCATGCGGGTGCTCGGTTCATCAATCTACGTCCCGTGTACACGCAAGGATTCGATCCGGAGAACCCTGAAAGGGACACTTCTAATAATATCGGAAGATTTTGAATTTTGCTCAAAAACACCTGCCGCCGTTTCGGACGTCCAGCACCAGTATTGGCTTTAATTTGTGTGCCTCCAATGCCAATGTACTTGATCTGGAGCGTCTAAATATGGGATCTGATCGATCACACAATTGAACTGGGAGATGCGTACGTATACTTGTACGTGCACGGCCACGTAGCTGACAAATTAGGAGTATCTAGTAGCTAGGCAGAAATGCGACCGATACCGAAATAGTATGCGGGACATCAGTGGGAGAGGTAGCAACTAGCTAACGATCGATGTCTATGTCAAATACGCCCCCTTAACCGAATGTCCACGAGTCATCGGGGGCCCGCCAACACGTTACTTGCAAGGGCCTCTCCCTCCAATGATTCCTCCATCTCACTCCGCGAGGAGAGGGACACCCATGTGAGGCGCCCATATCTTTATTCAACTCCCATCTCAATTAGTCCCTGTCTCATGATTGTTTGAGTCTTAATTAAAAATGGTACCACCTCAGTTTTTATTAATTTTTACTTTTGTCAAGCGCTCCAAGCGAAATTTTAATTTTAATCGGACAGATCACAGGGTCGACGTAGTAAGGCTGGTCCAGGTCGAGGCCCCACGTGTCATGGACACCGCTGAGCGTATTTGGAGACAGTTGTGGCTGCGCTCACCAAAGGGCGAGGCGTCGCCAGCTAGTATATAAAGCATGTTGGTATGGGCGTCACATTACTCGGCAGCCCACACATTCACTTTGCCTTCGCTTTAGCCTTTGTGCTGTAACTTGCAAGGAACGTCGGCGACCGGCTCGTCAGGCCTCAGGCGCACAGACTCCTCGTCCTCGCCCGTGCGCGCGGCCGGACACCCGCCGCCCCAGCCCAGAGACCACCGCCCACCGCCCACCACCGGCTGGCGCTCCCGATGGCGTCCAGGTGCTTCTTCCCCAGGGACGCGGCCGCCGACGGCGGCCGGCACCAGCAGCCGAAGGCCGCGGCGGCGGTCCTCGAGCAGCTGCACCACGGCGGGCGCCTCCTGTCCAGGGAGGACGTCGGCGGCGCGGTGCGCGTCAAGATCGTCGTCAGCAAGCGCGAGCTCAAGCAGATGGTCGCGGCGCTCGGCGACGGCGCTGGCGGCGCGGCCGCCGCCGCGGCCACCACCGAGCGCCACCGACGACAGCGCGCGACGACGGGGGGAGGATCGTCGTGCGCGGCGGGAGCGGCAGGGCCGGGCGCCGAGCAGAGGCTGCAGTCGCTGCGGCGGCGCAGCATGCGGAGGGCCGCCGAGGCGGCGCGCCGGATGCAGGCGAGCGGGGAGTGGGAGCCCGGCCTGCAGAGCATCCCCGAGGAGGTTTTCTGAACTGATGACTACTACCAGTAGACGATGGTGGCGTTCTTTTCTTTGATGGCTAGTAGTAATCTCTCTTGACTAATTATGGGTTGGGTTGGGTACGTTTTGATCACTGCCTCGCTGCTAAGTGCTGCTAGTAGATGTATGTGTACAGCTCTGTTTTTGCTCTGGGCCCTCGTTATCATGGGTCCAATGGCTGCTTCATAGTCCTCCGCGAGTATCTGCATTTTGCCCTGTGAAAATCTTTTGGTGTGAACCAAAAGAGGACGAAATTAAGAGATGTGTTTTGGACCTTGGATCACAATGCAAGTGCTGATGATTGATGAACTGCAAGATCTCAATTCTGGAGCACTGGCATCCATCCAACCTGTTGATGAAATGATGGGTGATGGGTTATGTGAGGAGGTGGTGGTTCAGAGTAGCTGCCGGTGCCAGGATTTCCTCTGTTTTCTCTCTTGTCCAGCACCGGCAGTGAATTTTTTTTTGCCGGTGTTCTGTTCTGTGTGTGCCACTGTGAGGCTGTGTGAGCCCGTGAGTGAATGAAACGGTGAATCGTGAACTCGACAAGTGCATGTACTATTTGCTGTCGAACAATAGTTTTATCTTTGTGTTGTCTCGCGGCCTTTTGGTTGGGCTTGGTCATGGAACGTAACCAAAAGTATCCAGTGGTTAGCTAGGAGCCAGGCAAAGGAGCTGGGCACCGGTGCCAAGATTCCATCGCACATGGCCAGATGGCTGTCGTATTAAACAAACCGATGGCTGCTTGTTGTTTCTGTTATCCACTGCTATGGCTTTGCCGGCATGTTGCGGCTCCTGTCGATTCTGTACGTACGGGGTTCCCATTTCTCTGCGCTGTACTGGCTCCTGTCGATTCTGCCCGTCCGGCTGGTAGAATTTTAACTGGAACTGCTTGAAAAATACTGTTTTAGCTGAATTGTTGTGAGAGAAAAATATTATTCCAGCTGAAAAAAAGAAACCGAACAAACCAAATATAGGGTAAGCCGAATATAAGCTGTCAAAATATATGTTGTTTTGTGATTTTTACAACTAAGCACACCAGCGCCTGTCATCGCTTTCGGTTATGTGCTGATGTGCGGCTTCAGCTTTATTTGAAGTACCAAACTACCAAAGTGTTGTAGTCTCGTATGATCTTTTATGCGACCTTTTAGGTAGTCTCTGAGTTTAAATAAGCATAAAAAAATGGGGGTCACCAGAAATGCCTTTCTGTGTCAGCATCATGCATACACCGCATTGTATGTAATCCGATATGCTCGACACTATAAGCAGAGGACTACAGACTTGCACTGGGCAGACCTATGAATTCAAGTTTGGCAAACACATCCCATCCTGAACCGTGAAGTCCCAACACCAAGTGCGTGCTTGTTTAGTTTCCAAAAACTTTTCCAAAAAATACTACATAGTAGCTATTATATCGAATCTTACGATATATGTATGGAGTATTAAATATAGATGAAAAAAAACTAATTGCACAGTTTGGTTGGAAATCGCGAAACGAACGTTTTGAACCTAATTAATCCATGATTGAACAATAATTACCAAATAAAAACGAAAATGCTACAGTATCAAATTTTCAAATTTCGCGAACTAAACGCAGCCCAACAACAAATCATTGCGAACTTTTGACGAGCTTTCAATGATGCGTGCCCAGGCCTGATGAACACCTCTAGCCTCCCTGCTTTCAATCTCTGATAGTACCATCAGGCCAGACCTCCATCAATCAGACAATCACTCCATGAACCGCCGTTCTGCTGCCGGCCAAGCTCCGAGCAGCGATTAGGCAGCATTTATGTCCTGCTTTTGCCTTCTGTACTGGGGCTTTGACGTAGAAACGCAGCGATGCAGCACCGACCCGCTCTTGCCCGGTCGCTTCCGTTTCACGCCCGTGTGGTTCCGGTGGACTGATAGATCGAGCTGACAAGTGGCAACCGACGGTGCAGCGTTGATCGGTCCCTTATTCCCGCTTCGAAGAGCATCGCCATTTTCAGGAGGAGCAGCAGCACATCTTCCATGTACATACGTCCACGTCCAGTCTAGAACGCGTCGGTTTCTGCAGAGTGCAGAAACGTGTGTGGGAGATTGATCGAAATTTTGACGCCGCGCCGTCCTCGAGAGCCAAGAAGGCGATGACCGGGGACTGTGCTCCTGAATCTAGGAACATTTTGGAGTTCGGAAACGGAGAGCGTACGGGTTACTCGTGTTGACATTGAACTGCTGCATCTTTCCCAAGTTCTCTCGTTGAAGTTTACTGTACTATACTCGCTTTTCGCGTATGGCTGCTGCAACGAACCTACGTTTGTAGACTTGGAAGTCTACACACAGTAGGTCAACACTCAAAACCGCTACTGTATTATACTCTTCTAGTCTTCTTTCGCTAGATAGCGTGGACACATGGTTTGCTCCAAGTGTAATTCAATATACTATTCCCTCTGTTTTTTAACATGTTAGTATTAGATTTGTACTAAACTAAACATCTATAGTTTTAGCCATCAATTTTACAAATTTTGTATATGTTAACAACATAAGGATTAGAGTAAAGCCTGATTCACCCCGGAAATAGTCGCCGAATTCGAAAGACCCCTCAAACTTCAATACCTAATAACTAGGGATGAAAACGGATCGGATACGAACGGATATCACTCATATTATATTTGTTTTCATATTTCTGTTCGGATTCGGACACGGATAGCGTTCGGATACATATACGAATACGGATTGACTCGGTTACGGATACGAATAATGAGTATCGAATACGGTATGAATCGGATTCGGAGAAGGTCGGATACAAATATCTATTCGGATATTGAGTAAAAGCAGCATATATATATATATATATATATATATATATATATATATATATATATATATATATTAAACCATTACACCACTCTATGAGTCCATAATCCATCTATATTAAGCCGAAAGACTAAAGAGTAAAGCAACAAATAAGATAAAGATACATATACATCATACATCAAACATCATACAAGCACCAATCTTCGCGGCATGAGTAGAAATAGCCAAGCTCATGGCTTCATGGGTCTCATGGAGTCATGGTCATGGATTCAAGATCTACAATCCTTATATAGGCCATTTTTTCATTTGAGAAAGTTTGAACAAAATGTAGTTCAAATTTCACAAGTGTGTGACATAGTTTTAGAAAGTCATATGAGATTCAAGAATTTGTGACTAGTGTTTGATAAAACTTTCTCAAATGGGAAAATGAGCTATGTAACAATTGTAGATCTTGCTGAGATGATCAAACTTGGTATTCAGAGTTTTTTCATCTGAGGTCATTTAGTGTCTCATTTGAGCAAGTTTGACCAAGTCAAATTTGGTCAAATGAAAAAACAACACTTTGACTCTAGTATTATGAACTCTAAATGACTTCAAATTGAAAAGTTTTGAATACCAAGTTTGTTCAACTCATCAAGATCTACAATTCTTGTTTTGGTCAACTTTCCATTTGAGATAGTTTGGATGGTTCAAATTTGTGATTTTTAAATTTCGATGCTTACAAACTAGTTTTCGGAACCCTAAATTGTCTCAAATTGAAAAGTTTTGAATACCAAGTTTGTTCAGCTCATCAAGATCTACAATCCTTATATAGGCTATTTTTTCATTTGAGAAAGTTTGAACAAAATGTAGTTCAAATTTCACAAGTGTATGACATAGTTTCAGAAAGTCTATATGAGATTCAAGAATTTGTGACTAGTGTTTGATAAAACTTTCTCAAATGGGAAAATGAGCTATGTAACAATTGTAGATCTTGCTGATATGATCAAACTTGGTATTCAGAGTTTTTTCATCTGAGGTCATTTAATGTCTCATTTGAGCAAGTTTGACCAAGTCAAATTTGGTCAAATGAAAAAACAACACTTTGACTCTAGTATTATGAACTCTAAATGACTTAAAATTGAAAAGTTTTGAATATCAAGTTTGTTCAACTCATCAAGATCTACAATTGTTGTTTTTGTTAACTTTCCATTTGAGATAGTTTGGACGGTTCAAATTTGTGATTTTTAAATTTTGACGTTTACAAACTAGTTTTCGGAACCCTAGATTGTCTCAAATTGAAAAGTTTTGAATACCAAATTTGTTCATCTCATCAAGATCTACAATACTTATATAGGCCATTTTTTCATTTGAGAAAGTTTGAACAAAATATAGTTCAAATTTCACAAGTATGTGACATAGTTTTAGAAAGTCTATATGAGATTCAAGAATTTGTGACTAGTGTTTGATAAAACTTTCTCAAATGGGAAAATGAGCTATGTAACAATTGTATATCTTGCTGAGATGATCAAACTTGGTATTCAGAGTTTTTTCATCTGAGGTCATTTAGTGTCTCATTTGAGCAAGTTTGACCAAGTCAAATTTGGTCAAATGAAAAAATAACACTTTGACTCTAGTATTATGAACTCTAAATGACTTCAAATTGAAAAGTTTTGAATACCAAGTTTGTTCAACTCATCAAGATCTACAATTGTTGTTTTGGTCAACTTTCCATTTGAGATAGTTTGGATGGTTCAAATTTGTGATTTTTAAATTTTGACGCCTATAAACTAGTTTTCCATTTGAGAAAGTTTGGACGGTTTAAATTTTGAAGCACTAAATGATTTCAAACGAAAAAGTTGTAAACAACAAAGTTTCATAACTTTTTGGGATCTATAATTTTTATTTTGATCATTTCACCATCCAAGGTCGTTTGAATAATATCCGGATAATATCCGTTTTTAAATATCCGGATATATCCGATACTTAACCGGATTATCCGATATCCGCCGGATATCGATGATATTACATCCGTATTTGATATCCGCCTAAGATATCCGTTTTAGTATCCGTATCCGAAAAAAATTACGGATATCCGAGTAACTATCCAGATAAGTGTTCATATTTGTTCTGTCGAACGGACGGTCGAATAAATATCCGTACCGTTTTCATCCATACTAATAACATACCGGACATACCATAAGAAAAACAGACCA